GCCTTAATAACTTTTCAAATGACAAAGGGTAGTACGTTGGGTTATCATTCGTGCTCGAAATTGAACCGACAAGAATGCTTCGTTGTTTTAAAGTAAACGAGGTCGGAAGATACAGGCAGATCCTAGAGTCACAGGAGCTCTTATCGATATTAACAAGCCCAACGCAACCAACCATGCAAAGCTGCCCACTGGAAGACTTCCACATTCCCTCAGACACCATTGTCATGTTATTAAGTGCAGTTCTTCTCCAAGCAGTGTAGATATTCTCCGATGGCAAAACAGCCCGAAAGACAGCAGAAACGCTAGCAGATATGTCGTTATGGCTAGAGCCCCGCAGCTTGCATTTCACGTCCTGCATATAAAGGCTCACATCTTTGAAACCTCCGTCGGTACCATTGATCTCTTTATCTGATAGAAACGGACCAAGTTTCCTACAAAATTCATCTGTAGAGTTGCATCTCCAGTTTGGGAGGATTGTGAAAGCTTGTCCCCTTGTCATTTCTTGCAAAACCCTGCAAAAAGAACCTCGATACGTACTAATGTTCTTCTTCAAAAAGTCATCATTGTAAGGGTACGGAGAACACGCTTTTTTGACAACTTTCTCAGCTGCGAAATCATAGTTCACATCATCGAGTTGAGACGAAATGTGAACGTCGTCGAAGTACTTAGAGTTCGACTTGGGGTTCAAACTTCTCAATTCACCTAGGATTACTCTACTTGTCAACGTATACCTCATCGGATATCGCAAAACAAGTAGAATTTGATCGTCTTGAAGAAGTGGCATCTGGTGAGGATTCCCATTTGAATCCTTGACCCAACTCCAGGGATTATCGGACTCTTGATCACGAGAAGGTAACATCCCACTACCCAACAAACACAGCACTCTTTCCCCACCATTCTTCTTGGATTCAGTATAGATTCCTTGCAAAGGCAGTGTGAGCTCAGAATAGCCAGGCCAAAACTGAAAATGAGGATGTCCATATGACCTTTGGTCAAAAGCACGATCCAAAGCTATGCCCATTGACACTAACCCACTAACACTGACAGACTTCTTGGTTTGATGGGCAGGATCAATATCAGTAACCCAAAAGGATATCAATTTCAAAGGGCTCTCAACATTTATAAAGTCCCTTTCTGAAAGAGTTAGATTTTCATAAGGCATTATAGGATACTTTCCCTCATCTTGCCACCAATCTCCATTTATAAACTGAAGCTGTTCCTTCATTCTAGTAAACCTAGTAGTATCCGAGCTGAATTCAGCTGCAGCTGACAGAACAAATTTGCATTGTTTCTCCACCTCATCATGCCTTTCATAATTATAAGTTTCATTAGGAATTTCATCTTTAGTTTCAGATTCAACAACCGCAAATCCTAGGGCATCTGATTGACCAAACGAAAAGCGTATTTCTTCGAACAGTTGCAGCGCAAGAACAAAGAAAAACAGAGACACAAGATTTTTCATGGCTTTAAATACTAATTTCAGTCTTCATCAAGCACAAAAATGAAAACCCAGATGGTTCTTCAAAAGATTCTCAGCTGTAAGCTGGCGAATGTTGCTCGAACCATGAAAACCCAACAAGATTGAGACAAGGATTACTAACCTTGGTGTCTGTCGGGATCGATCCCCTGTCTCTGTTCTACGAAGGATAACTTGATCTTCTGCGCTAAAAAGATGGGAAAACCATGGCGGAAGCAAGCGATCGGGCTGTGTGAGAGACAGAGAGAAACGGGCTTGACTGAAGTATGGATCTTGGAGCTGAAGTCTACTCCGAATTTTCTAGTCGTTCTGAATAGGTGGTTGCGAACTACTGTATTTCTTTTATTTTCCCCACTCCTCCTCGTAGCGCGTGGACTACCATACTTAATAAAAAAATTTATAAAAAAATCTAAAATAAACCTGGAATCAATAAATAAATAGTTAGTTTTTAAAAATAGAAAAACTAAAATAGATATTTAATTTTTGTATTCTTAAAATTAAAAGTATATAGACTTTAGAAACGACGCGTGGATGGGAAAATGCAATAGGCGCGTGGGTTGATAGTAAATGCTGCAATAAAATCAGGCCACGTAGGAGTGGAAGTGGGAGACTTAGCGTGATAATGGAAGCGGTCGTTGGGATATTTTGGGTATATAGGGTGATTTAGTTGGGGGTAATCTCGGTATTTTACGTAGTGGATGAGTGCGACAGTAATCTTCTCGGTCGCCGGTGGACGAGGAGTCCGACGTGGTCGTTCTTTTATTAAGAAGAAAATGGTAATTAATTTTGACAAATTAGATGAGTTCAATCTATTTTAAATTAATTTAACTTCAAAATCCCTTGGAATTTCAGACAAAACTAAACATTATTATTTATTTTTTTTTAGATGTGCTAAGAATATGGTTCCAAAAATTTTATTTTTAATAATTATTTTAGTGATGATAATTTTCGAAATAGTTTTATAAAATTATAGAGTCAAAGTAGACAAAATTTCACTAATTGAGACATGGAACAGAGCCTCTACAAAGAAGTTCTGAGAGTTACGAAGGAAAGCTTGAGCTCGTATTGGTCATTGGTTGAGAACGGAAATTGAATTCTCTGAGACCTAATTAATCGTGGTTCATCAGTAGCTCAGTGGTAAAGCAATCGACTGTCGATTGTTAACCAACTAATCGTAGGTTTCGAACCCTAATTGGGGAGATTATTCATAATTCGGAATGTAAAGGTTACCCGACTAGTCGTGGGTTCGAATCCCACTTGGGTTGGACTTGACCCTTAAAAGAAGAGTAGGTAACCCACTTCAAGCTAACAAGAGATGTTCATCTATCTATCTTCCGAATATGATAGATGAACATCTATAAATGGAAATCCAATATGACCAAGATTACATGTACAAGTGACAGCACAATGCAGATTTAACACACCGTTTTTCTCTTCAAGCTAACAAGAGGGTTCCTTGTTGTTGTTCTTCTTCTTCAGCATCAGATTCGGGCTTCATCTTGTGAAACCCAAAGCAAGAACAGGAAGAACAGTCGAATTCTCTCAGTTTCAGAAGCAGAAACAGCACAATCCCAACGCCAAAACCCAACGCAGCACTTGACCCTGTGAGTGAAACAGCAGCACAAACTAACATAACAAATGATTCTTCTTTACTGTTCATATCTTTGGAAGCCATAGCCAATTCAATCCCTGCAAATAGAAGAAGCACCCCAAGAACCCCAATTGGGAACTCACTCAAAACCTGTGCAAACGAATTCCCAAACGCCAATCCCAAAATCAGTTTCCCAATCCCTAAAAACACCACCGATGCGCCACTTCTGCCGCCGAACCGATACTGCCCGGCGAGGCCACCTGCGCCGTGACAGACCGGCATTGCGCCGAACCAGCATCCGACGAAGTTCATTATCCCAACACTTATGGACACACTCATGGCGGAAGCTTCACGATCTGGAAACAAATCCCCTGACAATTTGCAAACTGCAATTACAGAGTTCAAAATCGAAAGAGGAATTTGGGGAATTGCAGCTCTTACAAACCCTATTTTCCAATCTTCCCATGTGATTCTCAGAAGATGCAATTTCGAAGGGCCGAATTTAAGGTATTTCAAAACGGAAAGATCGCGAAGAAAACAGATCAATAATCCAAACAAGAACACAATCAGAGCAGCAGGAATCATAGATAGCATTCGTAACCTTCTCGTGCGACGGCCAGAACGAGATTCAGAACCATTATGCGATTCGGAAGACGACGGTTCTCCATTATGAGAATCGCCAGCTCCGGTGGTCAAAATTAGAAACAAACAAGAAATTAGGGCAACTAATAGGCCGTCATATCCAAGCCAGGACCGAGATCCACCGGATTTAGAGGTGACCAAATCTTGATCATACCGAATGTATTTAATAGCAGTGAAGGCGAAGGAAAGGCCCTGAGAGAGCTGAATACCGCGGACGACCGGCAGCGGGAGGTATCGATAGAGAACGGACATGAGGCCGGTGGCGCCGAGTATTAGGAGGACAGCAGCTGTGGAAAGGCCCGCGGCGGCAATTTGAGGGAGAGTGAGATGAGTAGACTCAGCGACGGCGACGGCGGCGATGGATTTCATCGGTTGAACCGGCATCGGAATGCCGAAGAGGAGGCCGGTAACGATATTGTAAAGAGCGGTAAAGATAAGAGTTGTCCCGAGATCGAGATGGGAGACCAGAGTGAGAGTGAGAACGATGGGGATGTAAGTCCCGAGGTCGCCGACTGCACCTGATATTTCTGCAAGGACGGAATTTTTGGGGCTGAGGGTCGCCGGAAGACGGCGGAACCACCTGTTAACGGTGGCAGATTGGTCGGGAGATGGCTCCTCCATAGTTGGTAAACGGCCGATGGCGTACTCCCTTGTGGCAAAAGCCGATCTCCAGAGAGTGTCCAAAAATGGTTGGACCGGAATATTTAATTTATACCAAAGATTTTTTTTTTTCTTTTCTTTTTTTGAAAAAATGATAAATAATAAACTTAGATTTTTAATATAAGTTTTATATTTTAGCATCTATAAAATAAAATAGTGTTTTATTAGTAAACTAAAAATAATATAATGCTTAAATATGATTAATCAATGAAGTAAGATGGTATAATTAATTTAGTATTTAAAATTAAAAATTTTGTACACAAATATCAAAGGGAGATATTTTTTGATGTATAAATATTCATTTCATTTTCAAATATTCAATTGTGGTTCCAAGCTACGCTACTTCTTCACCTTTTATCTGATGTCCTTTCCTTCCAGTAATAAATATCTCAGACTAACACAAAATATCTAAGGTACCCATTTTAAAATTATTACTCATAATTTCCAAAAACCCGAAAAACTAAATCGACCCAACTTAACTTGTAAGGCAAACAGACCACTTCGCAGATGCCACCCATCTCACCCGACACTGCTCGTCCCTTTTGATATTAGTAATGGTTGGTTGTTGGATCCTTAATTTTCCTTACTTTTAGAGTAACCAATGACAATGGTCGAACGAACGAACGAACTAATATGAGCATTTTCATTCTGTAATTTATCAAGTATTTTCATGAATACTTCAGCTTGTTACTCTAATGGGGAATTTCATATAATGATATACTAAAGCTACATGGATTCCATTTTACATATTTCCTTCAGAGAGCTTACCTCAACGACGTCCATGGCCGCACGAGCATGTTCTGGTATCGTTTTCGATCGGTTTGTTCGTACACTGTCCGAGCAACCAGGAAATGATCTTCTGCTGCCTCGATGTCGTCGTTGCACTATGAATGATTAAGATTATGTAGAATCTCAAAAAATAGTTTCATCCTGTACCAGGTTTTCCCCAATATCCCTCGTCCCCACACAAGCAGACTCCATCCTTGAAATGGTGATGCTCTTCGACGTTCCTCACTGATATTTCTCTACGAACGATCCTCGAGATGAACTTTACCATGTCGTGACACCTACGGCACATGTACATGTTCTTCGTCACCCAGATAGGCATCCCCGGGGCAGTATTGATCAACCCGAATGCAATGGCTTGCCTTTCGCTATGCCCGCAAAAAACGTCAGCTCTCGAAGATTCAACTTCACTACTCTTCAAATCTCCCAAACCAGCTTCCTTCATCTTGCTATAAAATCCATCCAAAACCCCATTAATTTCCTTTGACTGAGCGTGAAAATTGTCGCCGCTGAGAAAAGCATGAACTTTTCCATTCACTTCCACCCAACTGCAACCAGGATCTACCGCTAGTCCTCTTTCTCTCATCACTGTTCTAACTTTTGAAACCTTCTCCCAGTTACCACATTCAGCATAGAAATTGCAGAGAAGAACATAATACCCGACGCTTTTATCGTCCTTTTCGAATACACGTGACGCTGCAAGTTCTCCGAGCTGAACGCTTCTGTGAATTCTGCAAGCATTTAGCAAGGCTCCCCATATGGCTGCATCCGGCTCGATTGGCATATCCTGTATAAAATCATAAGCATCGTCCAATTGCCCAGCACGGCCGAGTAGATCGACCACACACGCATGATGTTTCAGGTTAGGAGTCAGATTATACTTGTTTTTCATTTCATTGAAGTACTCCAAACCTTCCATAACCATACCTGACCTGCTGCAGGCACATAATAGAGCAATAAAGGTAATCTCATCTGGGTTAATCTCCAATTCAAGCATCTCGTCGAATAGCTCAACAGCAAGCTTGCCTTGTCCCTGCTCGGCATAACCCGTAAGCAGTATATTCCACGACGTCACGTCTTTCTTTTGCGAGTTAAATTGGTTTAGTGCAGGCACATTTCTTCCACATCTTACATACATGTCTAAAATAGCATTAGGTAAAAAGCCATCAAACCCAACACCAGTACGTAGAGCATGTGCATGAATCTCTTTTCCACACATTAGAGCTCCTATTCGAGCACATGCCGATAGGATTGTAATCAGAGTTACAGAATTTGGTTTCATTGACTCCTTCATCTGACGGAAGAAAAACAGCGCCTCGAAACTTCGATTGTTAATCCGTAGACCAAGGATGAGTGAAGTCCAAGATATGACGTTCTTTCCCGAGATCTTGTGGAATACTTCTAAGGCCTTGTTGACGCATTTACACTTTGAGTACATATCAATGAGAGCATTTGAGACCATGACATGTGATATGAAGCCAGTCTTGATGGTAATCCCATGAAGCCTTATACCTAAATCCAAATGGCCTAAACAAGCACAAGCAGATAATACACTAACTAAAGTAATCCCATCCGCCATTACGCCCTCTAATGCCATAGTTTTGTAAGTTTCAACAGCCTTAAGAGGCAGCTTGTGACTGTCGTAGCTAGCTATCATCGCCGTCCACGATACCACATCTTTCGACACCATTCGTGAAAAGACTTTCTCTGCTTCTCCCAAATGGCCAAGACTCGAATACATCTGAATCAAAGAATTGTTCATCGAAACATCATCCCCAAACTCGGATTTAACCACAACTCCATGGATTTCTGTCCCTAATCTCTGGTTACCAAGAAGCTCACAAGCAGATGCTAAACTAGTCATAGTTATCAAATCTGGATCGACTGAGAGCTCGCGCATCATGAAAAACAATCTCAATCCATCCAATCCCCCTCCATTTTCAAAGTACCCTGAAATCATGGCATTCCATGAAATCCTATCTCTCTTTGGCATTTTATCAAACAGTTTCCGTGCATTACTTAAGTCACCGCATTTCACGTACATAGTGATTAAAGCATTACCCACATCTACATCCAACTCAAATCCAAACCTTATGACATGCGTATGAATCTCCTTGCCTCTAACTATATCAGAAATGCAACCACAAGTTCTCAAAACAGAGGGAAATGTATATACATCAGGCCTAATTTCAGCCCACAACATTCTATGATACAAATTCAAAGCCTCATCAAAACACCCCGCCTTAGCATAACCACCCAACAATACATTCCAAGAAAACACATCCCTCTCAGACATTTTACCAAACACATACCAGGCATCAGTTAAATTGCCAAACCTGACGAACATGCTCAATAAAGCATTGCCAAGCCGAACGCCCAAGCGAGATTTGGAGCTCAAAACACCTCCGTAGACTCGAGACCCTTCATCGGGCGCTCTTCTCCACTCACATAGCCTCAACAAAGCAATGTAAACATCTTCTTCCACCTCAATCCGGAGCTCTAGCATCGATTCCATACGTTTCACCGCTTGTTCTAGCTTCCCCAGAAGGCATAGTTGTTGTAATTCTAAGTTCTGAGTTTGATTGAAGGTGGAATTAGAGACCGCGGCGCCAAGGACTGAGATTTCTTGAGATTTTCTTAGCGTTTGCTTGTGGGTTTGCAGATTTTTGGAGAAGGATAGGGCTTTGAGATTGTAATTGTTGGAGATTTGGGGATTGGAACGGTCAAGATAGGTGAGAACATTAGAGGATTGAGCAAAAACCGCCATGGCCGGAGATACAGGGCATTGTTCTGGGGGGTTTTGAGAGGGGTTTAATGATTAAGAAAGAGGGAATTTTGTGGGCTTGTAGTGGATAACGGCACGTCCAGCTTTGAACCCATTGATGATTAAACACACAAAATGTTGCTGATTTGTTTCCGATTGCCATTGATTACTGCACCTTAAGCTTTATCCAAAATATCTGAACGCGAGAAAATGGAAATTTTATAAAATTGAAAAATATCCTTTGCCGCAGTATTTATTTATTTATTTATTTTTCGCTCTGAAATTAGAAATATCCTTTGTTTATTACTTTTTCTAATCACAATTAAACTTTAAATAAATTAATAAAAATAACTTTAAATTTCCCTCGAAATTCTTTTTAATTATCTTACAAAATTACATCTAATCTTTAAAAGAAAATTCAATAATATAGTATGTGTACCATTGTCCTATAAATTGAAATTAATGACTAGGTATTCATGTGTAGATTAATATGATATGTCTGAAACTTTGTTTATGATGTATGCAATTATACAGAGACGGGGTTCACTAACTAACCTCTAATTATGAACCTGACTCAATTGTCAAGGTCCGAATAACCATAGAACTTATTATGATATTTTATGACTTATAATTGTACCATAGGGAGACAATTATTGTGAGTGTCACGGTCCGAATAACCATAGCTTCTTGTAGTGAGTGTCACGGGAGGTAGAAGTCCACAGGTGTACTTTACATGTTGATTACGATTATTGTTCATATATGTGAGTTTGCTAATTAACCCATCGATTGTCAGGTGTCTGGACAACCATAGAACTTGCATATGTAAACTCAATTCGTGTACCCGTGTGAAATAAAGAAAGTAAAAATATTAGTATTATATAAAATAAATTTTTTTTTTTTTTTTTTTTTTTGTAATAATAATAATAATAATGCATAAAAATTGGAAGAAATCGTTAGGTTAGATTACATTGATAAAAAAAAACGCATTTTCAAGACATAGATTTCCTCCATGTCTTGTTGGGCGTCCTACGTTTGACCAACTTGGCTTTAATGTCCACCGGCGCGTGTCCCCCAAACCCCGCCGCCTCCTCCTCCACCACATCTCCGCCGCGAGCATCAAGTTTGTCCGCCTCCTCGGCGTTCTTAAACCCAAACCTCCTCCACTTGAAAAACCCCCTCTTCTTCTCGGACAGCCTCTCCATTTGAGCCTGCATTAGATTGCACTGGTTCTGCAGCCTCACCACCGTGTCTTTGAGCCTCTTAATCTCCATCTGTTGGGCAGTTGTTTCTCTCTTGGATTGGCACCTGGTGGGGAGGTGGTCAAGGGCGGCGGAGGGGCTCCGTGCTCCGCCGATATAGCCGCTCCAGTCGAGGTGGCGGTAGTTGAGTTTGGTGTGGTTGGAGAAGAGGACTTGGATTAGAGCTCGGACTGGGAGGCGCTCGTTTTGAGCTGCGTGGAGTGATGCCTCTGTTGATAGCTTCCTGCTGTCCATTACTCTGCACACACTCTTCCTTTCTTGCTTTGATACATTCGGATGTGCCTGAGATACCATAATACATATATAATCACTCGGTTCTCGGTTCGTCATCTCAACTTTAAGATAATTCTCTAGCTACGAGTTGAGTTAGAAGGTATTTTCATCATTCACATAATAATTTTGAAGATCTGTCTTAAAAGATATGAATTATATTTCTAGTCACCGTCCCTATCCCAACCTCAACTAATATAGGACCCATCTCACTCCCTTTATTTTTATATATATATATATATATATATATATATATATATACTTATTTAGTAAAATAAATAAATTTACTTACTTATTTAGTAAAATAAATAAATAAAATTTTAAATATTAGAGATTATCTTATAATATTTAAATTTGAATTTTTAAGAATTATATTCGATTCTTTATAAAATATAAAATGTTATTAGATTTATTATAATATTTTATATTTTTTAATTAAAAAATATGTTGAGAAATAGTAATTATCATTAAAGAAAATTGTTTGAAACAAAACCAGTTTTAATATATATATATACTAAATTAATAAAAATACCTATTTAAGTATTTAGAAATGTTTCTAAATTTTTAAAATTTTAATAATAATATTAAACTATTAAAAGGGTCTTCAAAATATTTTTATGTAATTTTGGATGAAAATACATAGCTCAAAAAATAATTTTAAACTTTAAAATTTTCATTCATATTTAAATAAAAAAAATATTTTTAAAAAATATCCATAAAATTTTAAAAGTAGTATTAATAAAAAATTAATATCAATTTAGATAGTTTAGGAGTATTTTTTAAATATATTATTAACGATAATAATATTTTTTAATTTTTTTTAAAAAATTAACGGTATTAATTAAAATTTAAAAAATTCGACTTTTAACCAAAGTATTAATTTATTTTTACCTACGTGAAAAGAAAAAAAAAAAAATTCACCTTTTCTCCTCCATAAATGGGACAAGAGGAATGATTAAGGTCGTGGAACCCACATCCCTCTCTCACACGACAATCACTCCTCCTTATTTCTTTCCCTTTTCTACCCCTTCTAAAATAAACCCTTTTTTAAAAAAAAAAAAATTACCTTTTTAAATTACAAATCTAATTTTTTATTTTAAGCTATGAAAGTTTTTTTAAATCAAGAAGTTTTAAAGTTTTATTAAATATAAAATTTATTTATATTTATATTTAATAAACCATTTCATTTTTAAAAAATAATTGAATAAAAAAATTAAAAGTTTAGAAATTTTACTTTATTTTTTAAAATTTTGATTTGTTAGCCATGTGTTTAAATAAATGGGTATTATTATTAGTTTTAAAAAATGGAATATTATTTATAAAAATTAATTTTGAATATTTGATTATTTAGTTAATTAAAAGAGCGTGCACAAAGGGAAAGAAGCCTTACTTTGAGATAGGTATCAATGGCTCGGTAGAGACCATCGTCGGAGGCTCGAGCATGGCTTGGTAGAGCACCGGCGAGCTCAACGAACTCCGGCAATCCCAAATTGGAATCCATTGCCGCCTCCGCAAGGTAACAGTCCACCAACTTCGCCACCTTAACCAAGGCGGCGCCGCTCCTAACGCCGTCATCCAAGCTCACAAACCTCTTCACAAGCCGAATCACCAATTCCACATCCAAAACCGTTCCACACGTATGATTAAACGACGGAATCATTACCTCTTTCAACGACGCCTGATCCAACTGCCAAGTAATCCTCTTCTCCAGCTCCACCCTGTACGGCGGCTCTACTCCCACCATATTTGCCGTCCGGAGAAGCCTCAGCAAAAAATTACACGGAATCAAATCCCTCTCCGGCGGCAATACTCCAACCAACGTCTCAACGAAGAATCTCTTCTTCATCCAGGAATTGGTGATAGTTTCCGGCGATTCCTTAAAATGGGTCGAATTAGTGAAATTCAACCAGGAATTGTGTGAATCGAGAGGTTCGTCGGAGAGATCCGGAAGCCATTTGGAAGCGTAATGCGTTATGAGAGAGGCGACTAAATCGGATTGAACGCCTTTGGCGTTGATTCCGGCTAGGGTTTTGACGAAGTAATCAATGTCGAGGATGGTGGAATCGTCGAACCAGAAACAGTGATCGGAATCCCCAAATTGAGGGGGGATTACGGCGGAGTGTTGCGGCGGAGATTGGTGGTTGTTCATAATGAAATGGAATCGGAATCGGAATTGGAATTTGGGAAAACAGAGCAGGTGATAAGAGAAGGAGAAGACAAAGATTATAAATGCCAGAGAATATGGTGAGTTCATCCAATTGGCAGATCATATTTGATATCATCCATCCCCTTCAAATTTATACCTTATACTTCATATTTCATATCATCCATCCCCTTCAATTTTATACCCATCAGATCTTGTATTTTTACCTCTGAAAACGACTAGCAGCCGTACCGGCCAATGTATGTATAAGAGCTCAAGTCTACCGTTAGACATGGTCGGTTTTCCCTTCTAGACTTTCCCTCAACGTGTTTAAAATATGGGTCTCCACATCCTTATAAAAAAACGTTTATTTTTAACCATACACATTGAAAAACCTCTCTTTAAACCTTTAAATAGTCTATGAACCCTAACCCTAATACACATACAGGTATTCCACCTTTATATATAAATATAAATATAAATATATAAATTCTCCATGAACTATAAAATATAAAATATATTTATTGTTCTATCTATTTTGAACATCCAGTATGGGCTTTAACTACTTCAATGAAGCCCACTTAAACATGGGCCGTAATGGATCAGATGAGCCCAAACTCTAACCTGAGAACATATTGTTGAAATTTTCAAACTAGAATAATTAATAATTTCCCAACTTGAGAAAATAACATTTTTTAAATCCGTAATTATAGTCCAATCAATGATTAAGGAAGTTGATTAGCACCAATAATGCGTTTAATTATCATAAAGAAATTTAAATTTTATTATTTAAACAATTTAACATTACCATTTGAATGGTATTTTAATACTTTCTTAAAATTAATTAAGAGTATTTTTAATTCGAGATTTTTTAATTCAATAATTTACTCAGTCAAATCATAATTTTTCTTGAGTATCAACCTCAGTGGTTGTTCGAGGCATTTATTTAAATTATTTTTAATAAGAGTCCAACATTAATTTTTAAAACGTCTATTTTTTATTTTCAAACATTTAATTAGGATTTGCAACTCAAAATATCAATTTTAGATAGTTTAAAATTATTTTTAAGAATGTTTCGAACATAAATAATTAAAATGACAATTAGACAACACAACCTTAAGATTGGACTGTGAACTTTATTCTAGTTGTTCATGTCACTAACTCAACTAACCCGAAATTTTAGATTGGTCCAAGAAAAATTTAAATCTAATCGAGATAGGGATCGAAATTCCGTAGTGGGAAGACAAAAAGGCAAGGGGAAAAGGTTAGAAAAAATGGTAATGGTGGGTGTAAAGGTGTGGGTTTGAGGGACCATTTGTTGCCTGCATTTCTATCTTTTCACCCTTTTTCTATTTACCTTTCTCATTCACAAAACAATCGGTTCTCAACTCGACATGCCACGTGAAAATTCACAGCTACATCACGACACTGATTTAAAAAAAATAGTACTTGAGCTCGAGAAAAGATTTTTCGTACATTCTATCATTCAATGTTGTGTTTTATACTTATATATTTGGTATGGTA